GTGGACATGTAGCATATGCAAGATACAAACATCTGTTGCTAAATTTACTGATATATTTGAGGCTTTTTGCTAATGCAGTTTCAGTTAGTGAGCAGTTGTTAAGGAAAGCCAATCCAACCTCCCCTGGGGAATATGTGTCAATGTCTGGACATATTTTTGGTTGGCTCAACTTGCCATAGTGTTGCTTACAGAGAGTGGAGGCCAGAAATACTACTGAGCATCCTGCAAAATACAGGACAATGGCCACAACAAAGATGTCCAGAAGCGACAAGATTGAGAACCCCTGATCTAGTCTACCCTAGCAGATACATGTACCCAGACACATGGCAGTGAAACTGCATATCACCAAGGGCATGGATTGCTCAAAAGCAACTAAAATGGATTGACTAATTAAAAAAGACTAGCAACTAGACTGCCAGCTAATCTCTCAATAAAAACCAGGAGAGTTCAGAAAACTTCAAAATTCTGAGACAAAATAATCATATGCATGGAATTGTTTAATGATGTCTTTTAGACATGACAGCAAACTAATTTTCAGATAAACAAATCTGCAGTATTTGCAATAAATAGATCATAAGTGAAAAGTATATTCCAATCTTTCCCCACCTCCCAAATTATCCTTCTTGAGAAACCTGATAAGCAAGAGATAAAGATGAGCAAGCAAAGTGGTAAATACATGATCATGTTTAAACAAATGTTGACTATATAAGATAATGTCTGGAGAAGTAAAAAAAAAAATATGTCATCAACAATTCAAATATCAGAATCAAATATTCTAACTCTTTATAAAAGTTATTTGTAGATTTTGTAAAAATATGAATTATATTGAGATTTTAAAGCATAGCACAAAGATTATGATTTATTTTCTTCTCCTTCTCCTTTTTTTTTTTCTCTCCCTTACTTTCTTTTTTGTTTTTGGTACCGGGGATTGAATCTAGCAGTGATTAATCACTAAGCCACATCCTTAGCCATTTTATTTTTTATTTTTCATTTTGAGATGGGGTCTCTCTAAATTGTTTAGGGAAGTGGGCTTTGAATTTGACATCCTCCTGCCTCAGCCTCCCACACTGCTAAGATTAGAGAGATGCAGCACCACGCCTGGTTTAGCACAGAAATTATAATCTTTAAATTCTATGAGTCTTGAAATAAATAAAACAAAAACTGACATAAATACAAAGAGAAACTGAGGAATGTATAATTAAGGTGGCAGATTTTTACATACTTCTCTGGAAAGCTAATCAAGCAGGAAAAAAAACAGCAGTATTTGAGAAATAAAATATTTAAGCAACAGGATTAGCAACCTTGATATAATGGATATATATTAAACTCTGCATCCAATTAGATAATTTGTTTCCATTTTTGGTACATTTTGATCATATATTAAACATAATAGAAATCTATAAACATAGCTAATAAATCTCTAACATGTGGAAGCTTTTACTCCTCACAATAACACACACGAGAAACAAGTAATGAAAAATGTAACAAAATAAAATGTTTTTAGGCGAAAAATGTAGAAATATTACAATTAGAAAACAGTGTCAGATAAAATATAGCTGGAAAATAAAATAAAACAAATATAAAACTGTAGGATTCATTGCCTTAAATAAATTTGTTAGCAAAGAGGGATATTTTTTGTGAAAATGAAAAACACAAGTAGAAATTGATAAGGTTCAAAACAAGAAATATTCAGAAGGATCAACAAAACCCAAAATAGTGTTTTTAAAGTCAAGTTCTGTAGGAAGTGACTCTAGGAGTTTTGATCAATAAAAAGAATTTATGAACAGACAATATTTTGGATGAAAAAGGAAGACAAAATATAGAAAAAGCAAAGATAAAACATATTCAATGATAATACTAAGATGTTAATATTAAGGCACAAACTTTGAAATATGACCAAAGGATAATATGCAAAGAAATTATAAATTGTCAAAATTTGCTCAAAGATGAAAGAAAAAATTAAGCAGAGCTATAAAAATGGAAGAAATTAGCTGCTGATATAAGATCAGGCCTAAAAAAGATTTAGGGACAGGTTACCCAAATGTCAAATAACAGATAATCCCACAATAATATAAAGAATTTCAGAGAACAAAGAGAATAAGAATTTTCTCATTACTGCCTTTGCACTGCCTTTGAATTAGACAATGATGTATAAGAAAGTAAATTTATAGACCACTTAAAAAATATATATGCAACAATTTTGAGAATGAGTGACTAGTTTTATATAAGTAATTCAAAAGACTTTTAATGTTGGAAAAATCAAATAATTATAAAGAACTACATTAAGAAAAGAAAGGAAAAACTATATGCTATTCATATACAAGAAGAG